TTGCTCATATGGCAAAAAAAAATATGGCACCAACTTGTTTATTATTGTTTCCGTCAAGTTTGGCAAAGCAGCAAATTCTATTGCAGTTCGCCGTTTCGCTAGCCAGACTATACATCATATATTCATCTTCATCGTTAAATTCAGGAAGGTCATACAGTTGCGACCTTTTCAAGTCACCAATAGCTAATTTTATTTAAAGCATCTGGCATTAATTCGGAAAAATTTATTATGAAAAATTAGCACAAAACAAATATCTCTATGCCTTGAATGAGATGCCTCTATTTTTATTATTATGCGATCATTGGCCACATCGCGTACTTACACCTGAAAAATGAAAATAGCAGTAGCTGGAGGATGAGTATCATCCCTGCTTCCCTTCTTCCCCTGTTACCTCTCTCTTTCGTTTGCTTCCAGTACTGTATATGCCCATTTGACATTTTCAGCACTTTCTAAATATTTCTTCCTCGTTGCTTTGTTCCTTTTTCAGTGCGTCATGAATTGAATTGACCATTAATTTTTTATGCTTTATGCTTTCATAAGGTCTGTTCTCGCAGAAATCACAAACCACTCAAATTTCATTGGTTGAAAATAGTCAGAAAACTGTTTTTTGGCGATTTGCACCAATCAAAAATGCTCTGACTTATTCGTGATTTCTGTAAGAACAGACCTTATGGAGATCGTCCGTTTGAAGGTAACTTGATAAAGGTTCTGTTGTTCTGAAGATCGGTCCACCGGGAATTTCCCGGTATCTCGGTGGGTTCATCCAAACCTGAACTGTGCGTTCGGTATTTTGATCTGAGTTCTCCGAGCTTGGCTTATTCGTGTTCGTTTATTAATTTCTGGCACTCCGATACAGCGTTCAATTGCTCTGTTCGCTCGCTGGTCACGTGATTACGGCTCCGCTCAGCACGCTCAGAACTGCTTTCCAGTATGCACATGGGCTCTAGAGCACCCCGGGAGCGCCACGCACTAGATTTGTACCGTTCCAGTATCATGACGAGTGAAGGCCCATCCTCATTCAATTTGTTAGCGAAGTGGCACTTCAGCACGCAAGCTAGTAAATTTTTTTTTAACGTTGGCAATGTTGGCATCCTCAATTCAATTCCGTGCTGGGCCGGTATTCTCGTTCTCGAAAACGCTCACGGCTTTTCAGTCGCTCGGCACTTTTAATGTAAATTTGCATTTAAAGTGCCGAGCGCCTAGAAAGCGGTGAGCGTTTTTGAGAACCAGAATACCGGCCCTCTGGCATGCACGCCGATTCCGAAGTGCAAAGTGCAAACTTGCAAGCTTTTTCGATGCGTGCCGACTTATGTCATGCGCAGTACGGTAATAAATAATTTAGGTTATCCTATCCTTGCGTTCGGTATTTTGCTCAAAGTGCAGAGCGCAGCCGTAATCACGTGACCAGCGAGCGCACAGAGCAGTTAAACGCTGTATCAGTAGAGGGCTCGATTTTTTTTTAAACGAACGTAAATGAGCCTGCACCGAGTACACTTACACGGTATGTGACCGTACTACACGCACAACAGGCGAGTTCTCATGAGCGTAAGTTGACATTTCGGGCGTAATCACGTGATAAAATAATTGACCTTTTGTTTGGACGCCATATTGCGGTGCGCCAACATAGTTGCCAAAAGAAGAAAACAAAAATTATTAGCGTACTGTCAACATTAGAAACAAAAGTTACTGAATAAATTACATTTAAAATTTAAATTTGCCGCCTATTACGAATGTTTTTCAAAAGAAAAGCCATCAATTTTAACTTGTATTGGGCAGAATAGAAATAACAAAATATCGACCTACTCACTTTACCAAATTTCGGCTTCCTATCTCAAGTCTAGTACTCAGAACCGCGAAATACCCTCTTTTTTGACATTGCTTCGACAATTTAACGTTTTATGTGTGAATCAAACGTCAAAAAAGAGCGAATTTCGCGGTTATGAGTGCTAGGCTTTATTGTTTATAGAATCAGAGAGAGAAAGTAAACAAACAAAAAGGATAGCGAAGATCAATCATTTAGTTACTTTTGTTTTTAATGTTGACAGCCCGCTAGTAATTTTTGTTTTCTTGTTTTGGCAACTATGTTCGCGCACCGCAATATGGCGTCCAAACAAAAGGTCAATTGGATTTTATTGGTAGAATACTCGCCATGCTAGAGATTCTACCAATCAAATTACACCATATTATCACGTTATTACGCCAAAAATGTCAACTTACGCTCATGAGAATTGAGAACTCGCCCTGGAAAATTGACAGCATTGAGGATGGGTTTCAATTAGAGGTGGGAAACTATCGAAGAATCTAACTATCGATATATCGATAGTAACGAATAAAAACTATCGATATATCGATATAACTATCGATAAAAAAAAGGGTTTACGTTTTGGACCCATTTTGTATTTAGGGTTTCTGCAATTAGCAGGTCAGGGCAAGCCAAAATGTTAGTGTTAATGAATTCCAGCTCCAGTGTGCACATGAAGGTCTGAGATGAAGGCCCTACCCCAACGGCCCACGCCCTACCACTACCGCCTACGTCCTACAATACAAACAGAACGAGACCTAGAGAAAAAAATACCCAAATGAAAGTTAATATTGTGAATCACAATGTTTAATTACACACGTTTTTTTTCTTTAAACTGGAAGTGAAGAACAGAAATAAGCATCACTATGAAGTGGAATACAGTGTAATTGAGTGCTGTAGGTCGTTGTTGTTAACTTACCATACCATCAAAACCAAAATTGAAAACATCAAGGTTGTTTGAGAAATGGTAGGTTGCCTGTTGCCTGATAATTTTTATGGCCTCATCTGGGTTGCCTCAACATAATTCCAAATCTCCACAAGGTACCCCAGACCAGATGACGTCATCAAGTTACCCATTACCAGACAATCCATTAACTTTAGGAGCCTTAGGGCGGGTATTATAAAACTACTTTGAGAGTTAACTTAAAGTTAACTTCTGGAATTACATGTAATTCAAAAAGTTAACTTCAAGTTAACTGTCAAAGCAGTTTTATAATACCCGCCCTTAATAAAAGATGGAATGTATGATATTTCTTGACACTTGACATTGCTGACATAAGAAAAGACAAGAGAACTGCTATCGATTGTCCAAGTAGAACTATCGATAGTTCCATAGTGTAGCAAACTATCGATATATCGATAATCACTATCGATAGTTTCCCACCTCTAGTATCAATTTCCCAGCACGCGTACCAAAGTGCCACTTCGCTACCAGCTGCCGGATTCTATTTTGCGAGTCGAGTCGTAATTCTTATCGAATTGTCAGAATAGCGATTCTATTTTACGATATTAGATAGTTCTCGTGACGCCCAAATTTCAAATACCGTAACGCTATTCGGCAAGTATGACAGTTCTTACGGTATTAGCGTTAGCGGAGCCCGCTATCTAATGGAACTCACCGGATGTTTTACCGTAACACTATATCCTATGTCAAAACTAGTTTACGCTCCATTTATGTCTGCAAAAACAGCAACTTCTAATAATTCCTCCATAAAAAACACCAAGGGAAAATTAATCAAGCTCAGGAGTCTTCAGAATAAATGAAAGTTAGAAAACAAGCAAAAAAAGTGGAGTTAGATTACTCAACTCAGCTGTCAAAATGTAAACAGAATAAGGGATTAGAGGATTTATGTGTCTTCGTGCTCGAGAACTATAAAATACCATGTGAAATACCGTATTGTTAGCGGTACCGTATTAGCGTAGCGTCTGATGCACGAGAATTTCAATACCTATTACACGGTACGTCCGGAGCTGTCGTATTCGATATCGAGACAATCCGACTCGACTCGTAAAATAGAATCCGGGGGCTGATTGATTGAGGATAGCCGCTTTCCAGCTGTGTGCTTCAAGCACGGTGCAGCACAGTGTTCTGTGTTTGAAACGCAAAAGTTAGCAGGCTCTCGAACCGCAGTACGGCTGGAACACGAAAACGCGCTTGAAACCTTTGCGCGCGAAAAAGCTCGATTGCGTGCTCAAAAGCGTCAGCTGGAAAGCGGCTAATGTAGCTTGTAGGAATGTCAATAACCGATGGTTAAAACCGAAAAACCTGTGTTTTCTCTTCGGTTAACCGGTTAAAACCAGTTGTTTTTTGCTTCCAGTTATAACGGGATAACCGGGATTTATACCTAATAACCGGTGAAAGTGAAATAAGTAGACTCTTTTCTCTCGTTTTATTAAATAAATTGTAAAATATTGAATAAACGACAACAGTCGAATATTTCATAAGTCTTCGACCAATAGTAGTGCCCATCTCTAGTATTTCATCCCAATTTCGGTTATTTCGTTCAGCAACAAGCATTCCCATATTTCCCTAATGAACGGAATTGAAAAAGACATATACATGTAGGTTGAGGTACATGTCAACGGCTACATGTTTAAAATGACAGACGAGAAATAATAAATATCAGTTTAGAAAAGTGTAGGTATTTCTTCGGCTATGTTCGTTTTTGTCTTCTTTTTTGTCGATTTGCTCCAAAATTTTGATAGGCACGTGACTAGATCAGACAGTTTCAATTTACAAATCACGTGTCTGCTAAAATTTCGGAGCAAATTAACGAAAAAGATGACAAAAACAAACACGACTTTTGATGCTTTTTCTTCACATATAACAGTTCCCGATTTTTTTTACAATAAAGATGTTGTTCAACTTATATTACATCATAGTATAAATTATGCAATGATTCTGATGAAATTTGGGAAAATAACTGATCAACCAGTTAATCGAAATAACCGGTGTTTTATATCAGTTATAACCGGGCAGTTAAAACTGTTATTAAATTAACCGGTTAATGGAAAAACCGGTGTTCTAAAAAAACTTGACATCCCTAGTAGCTTGACGTTTGTCTGTACGTATCAATGAACTACGTATAGCTCGGGAGCTCAACGCTCCGAGCGTCACGCTCCCATAGTGGAAAGCGGCCCCTCTTTGAGCAAAATACCGAACGCAAGGCTAACCTAACCTCAGAATTTTTAGAAATAATAGTAAACAAATAATTATATCTGTCACTTTTTGATTTTTATTATGAACAAAAATTCAAAAAGGATTTTAAATTAAAATAAAAAACCTGTAGTAAAAGCCTAGTATCGATAGCCTGCGAGGTGAGCCAGTTGGTGAAAGTACAGGCCTGTCAAGGTTAATGTAAATTCTTTCCCATAAAAAATTAAAGTTTTTATCTTTTCAGTTAAGTGACACGATTATAAATAAGTTAGAATCAAGTTCCTGATTTTTAGCTTTTTAGTGGTGGACAATGGTTGCAAATAACAGAGTAAGCATCCTAATCATTCTTTATTTTTCAAACATTCTTGCTAAGAAATAATTAATGACAACACAGCAATGGTATGTAATTTTTCTATTATCTATTCCAGCTGGTACAAATAATTAAACAAAAATCGATGTATTTTATGGGTTTATATTTTTGCTGTTGAAATTGTTTGAAATGTATTAAAATTTGAAGCTTTTCCGCCTTTTCCTTTCTCTTAAAAACTAGAAAAGCAACTATGGTTTTGTAGTTATTAAGAAGAGAAGACTATCAAGTACCTGTACCTATATTGGAATTTGGATCAGATAATCTAAAATATTATAAAGGCAAACCTCGAGGCAAACCCTATAATATAGAACGTTTCAGAAAACAGGAGTTTCTCTGTTTGTTAAAATAATATTAAAAATTACAGTACAAGCTTGGTAACGTAAACACGAAAAGTACAGACCATTTTCACATTACCGATTCTTTAAGTACATTAATGAAAGTCTCTTTTTTTCAGTTTAAAGTTTAAACTAACAAAAATATAAATGCAGTGTCCCGCTTAAGGACTGACCACCCTTCTAAAATTTTTATTTTTCAACTGATTCAATTTATTTTATAGCTACTCGAATTAGGCACTTATTAGGCTCATAATTTTATTTCTACGGTTGTACTGGTGTACAGGGTGTCCACATTTATAGGCTCAAATATCAATAAGTACTATTAGGGATTTTTTTAGAAAAAATCTGCTGGCAAATTCTTGTTAAGAATTGTCTAAAACCCAAATGTACCAATTTTTGTTTCAAATGATACAGGTTGATTACAATACAGTGAAGCTTCACTAATCCGGATCAATAAAAACCAAGGCAATCCGAATTAATGAAACATACGGATTATTGGAACCTTTTGAAAAGTCACAAAAATACGTAAAAAACCTGTAGTTTTTGTTGGCGCTGGTGTGTTGGTGGTAATTACATAGTACAGTTAATTTTTGCAAAATATCGTGTTTTTCCGCTATTTTGTGTTCTTTTTTTGGCGCAATGATGCTTTCTACCGAGCTTTCCACCCTTGTCACAGAAACAAACGCATCGTTTTTGGTGGAATAAGGGGATTCACCGACATATACTTTGGTAACACGTAACACCACCTGTAGCGAAAAAATTATGATCCGGATTATAGAATCACAGTTAATACGGATTATAGAATACATAATGTTAACGTCTAATATTCTAATTTTGTCCCGATTACTGGGAAATCCGGATTAATGGAGTTCCGATTAGCAAAGCTTTACTGTATATTTTCAAAATTTAATGGATCAAACCGGAAAAATCTCATATTTTGAGGTCTTGAGAACATCAAAGCATAGTTTTAGAACATCCTTAACCAAAACTTGTAGTAAGCTTGTCTCAAAATATAACTTTTTTGTGGTTTGATCCATTAAATTGTGAAAATTTGTTGTCATCATCCTGTATCGTATTGAAATAAAAATTAGTACATTTGGGTTTTAAACCATTCTTAACAAGAATCTGCTATCAGATTTTTTCTAAAAAAATCCCTAATAGTACTTATTGAAATTTGAGCCTATAAATGTGGACACCCTGTACACCAGTACAGCGGCAGAAATAAAATTATAAGCCTAATCAAGTGCAGCGGCGCCGACTTTTGAAAGTCCTCATGGGTGCACGATAATAATAAATGACTTTATAAATTTGTTTATAGAGGGAAGGGGTTGGAGAATTTTTTTTTTCTGGATGCCACGCCACGCCCAAAAACGTCTATTTTATAGTGTTTCCGTTTGCTAAATTTGGGCAGCACTAGAGCAACTCTCGCCCAATTTTTGTATTCGATTTTATCCCCCCGTATGTCTGGATAGGTAGTATTCATCCCCCCCCGTATGTCTGGATAGGTAGTATCATCGGCGCCGCCAGGATTAGTTTCAGGGAGGTGCATACAGGCAGTGACGGCGCGAAAATTTTTCCGGGTGATGCCACACCCAAAAACGGTTATTTTGAGCTTTTAGAAAAATAATTTTTCTAGGTGATAAAGTAAATGTTTTCAACTCGGCGGAAAGTGGCACAGGCAGTGGCGGATCTAGGGACGAGTGGCCCTCAGGGCAAAATATACAGGGTGGAATTTTTAAATGGAATAAAATTAGTATCAGAAAGCCTGCATGTTTATTTTCTGGAAAAATAAAAAAAAACGGGTCCCTTTATTTTTAGTTTGGCACATTTTTTCGGCCTTTTCATGGAATTTACCCCCCTCTTAAGGGTAGAAACCACCCCCACCTTTTTTTTTCAAATGTAAAGATATGTATTGTGATAGCTCGTTGGAATGGGCATAAAAAAAGGAATAAGTATGATTCATTATTTACTTTTGCATTTTGGTGATCTAGGAAGCGGGAAAAAAATTAAAAAATATTGGTCCTAACAGCAGTTAAAATTGTTGAATATCTTCAGCATTTCTTCTTGGTAGAACCCTAATGCGAAACAAGCCCCATTTGTGACGTTATGTAATTATTTCTGACGTTAACACACAATTTGATGCTTGATACTCGGATTTTCAACCCTAAAATAGTGCGTTAATGTCAAAAATAATTACATAACTAGATCACCGAAATGCAAAAGTAAATAATGGGTCATATTCCTTTTTTTATGCCCATTCCAACGAGCTATCACAATACATATCTTTACATTTGAAAAAAAAAAGTTGGGGGTGGTTTCTACCCTTAAGAGAGGGGTAAATTCCATGAAAAGGCCGAAAAAATGTGCCAAACTAAAAATAAAGGGACTCGTTTTTTTTAAATTTTTCCAGAAAATAAACAGGCTTTCTGATACTAATTTTATTCCATTTAAAAATTCCATCCTGTATTTGGGGGCCCCCAGGCCTAACCTATCCCTTGAGCATTAGCGCACCCAGAAAATATGTTTGGGGAATGGGGGGACCCTACAAAAGTTGTGGCTTGTGTATAAAAATCTAAATAGAAAATAGTCGTGTCAGGCGGCCACGCCACGATTTTTTTGTACGTAAATATACAGTTTTGAACGGGCGGCTAGGGGTGGCCCTTGACCGATGTCTCCCCCTGGGTGCGCCACTTCCCTTGAGTATCACGTAAAAAGTAGGAAAATAAAAATGCGGCCTTGAAATACTGGTTATCAAATCACAATATATGGACTGTTGGGTCGGTCTGTGTTTCTCGGAATTATATGGTCGGATATACTCGGAATACTTCGGAAGCACGCTCAGCGTTGTCATCTGACAACGCTCAACCACAGAAACGAATATTATTAGGCATGGGCGGTATGGTAAATGATATTTTAGAAGATAGGAATTGAGTCCTTATTGAATGAAGCTTAATTGAAATGTTGTTATATTTGTTTTGCATGTATGACATTTTTTTATACATATTCGAAATTTTCCGCAGCATCGTGGGGCTCTTTTGGACCGTGGGCCCCAGGGCGGCGCATCGAACTGCCTTCTGTCCGCCCCTGGGCATGGGTTTCTCGCAATTTAATACTTTTTTCGGGCTATCAAATCGTAGAAGTTAAAGAAATTTATATCAATAAACTAGAATTTGAGTAAATTCGAAATTCCCGCCATTCTACAGGTTGATGGCGCGCGAAATAAAAATAAAATAACTCGATCCGAGCCGGAAGTGAGCCGAGGAATGTCGGAACAAAGAGTGCGAGAGAACCATCGTTTCTCGTTTCGCCAATTTTTCCAAACCGTAACTAGCAAAAAAAAATAATAATAAAATAAAATAAAAAATTTCAATGTATTTTTGACAGGGGGGTGCAAGTGCACCCCCTTGCACCCTGCTGCCGGCGCCCATGGGTAGTATGAATTTTGAACAAACATTTAATAATGTATTTATTTTTATTTATACAGGGTGTCCCCGTTCAACTGGTCAAAAATGCTAGGGTATATAGAGGAACCATAGAGAACTAATAGGACACCGATAGTCGAAATTGCGCCGTTTCCAAAATACAGGTTATTGAAATTTAAACAACCCCCTTTCATATCATCTGAAGGGCTAATGCTAGGCTATTCAAATTTCTATGGATTATTGGAACCACCAAAAAAAAAATATGGTGTCCTATCTCAAATTAGTTGTCCATGGTTCCTCTATGTACCCTAGCATTTTCGACCAGTTGAACGGGGACACCCTGTATAAACACAGTATCCCATTTTGGTTGTACAGGGTATTTGATTAAATTTGGACCCATACCTACAGCCTTTACTGTTAAAGTTAGAAAAAAAAATTAAATACAAAACTAGACAGTTTTTTTCTATATTTTCTTTGAACGGTATCAGAAAAAACAAAATCGCATCGGAAAATGGAGAAACGTAGACAGCTTCAACTTTTTTTAATGGAACACCCTGTATATTTTGCGATAAAATGAAAGATCCTTTCTTCCTGATTCCAATATTCCAAATATATATTTATTGATCACATTTGAGTGAGCCGTTTTTGACATATTTTAGCTTAAATTATAAATAATTTGCAAAGAAATTTCAAAGGATGTCAAGACATTTAAATCTTTATAAAATTTCTTTGAATTTTATTTATAATATAAGCTAAGATATATCAAAATCGGCTCACCCAAATCCAAATGTAATCAAATCAATACATATATATTTGGAATCAGGAAGAGAAGATCTTTCATTTAATCGCATAATATACAGGGTGTCCCATTAAAAAAAGTCGAAGTTGCCTATGTTTCTCCATTTTTATATGCGATTTTGTTTTTTTCTGATACCGTTAAAAGAAAAGATAGGAAAAAACTGTCAAGCTTTGTATTTAATTTTTTTTCTTCTTTTATTTCTATCTCAAATAGTAAAGGCTGTAGGTATGGGTCCAAATATAATCAAATACCCTGTACATACATAAGGGACATCTGAGTTGCTATTGGAGTTAGAAGGATACGGTTTTCGCGAACGTTGGCTACATCGCCCTTTCCGTTTTTTATATACAAGGAGTTTATGAAAAAGTTGCATTTTGAGACACCTCTGGTATCTCGGTTCTC